CCCTCTGAATATTTTTAATCTATGTGTGTTGTGTAAAAGCATGTACAAATTAAGAAGCTGTGATGAAGATAATGGTTTCGTCTTCACTAAATCAATTATCTGTGAATTAATGGAGTTAGAATAACAAATTTGCCTAAGTATTATTAATTTTCGGGTTATAGAAAAGTTATAAGTAAAATGATAGATTTTTGGATAATATCAAAAGAAAAGAGGAAATAGTTGCTTGCACGTACCATCGCCGATTTGACAATTAAATCGCATTATAAAAAAGAAAAATTACTAAAATAGTTTTGATAAATGATTTTTTTTTTTTTGATTTTGGTGTTTTTACTTCATAATTCTTCAAACATTTTTCCAAAAAATTTAAACTCAGTTTTGTCCTTAATTTTTTTTATAACAAAAAACATATTTACGAAATTGCAATTAATGAATTTTCTGTCAAAAGCAAATAAGTCTACCGTTCACGTAATGGTAGATTTATTTAGTGGTTGGTAGATTTATTTTTGAAAAATAAACTTATTATTGAGTGGTAGATTTATTTGCCTTTATAGTAAATTTAATTCGGATATAAATAAGTCTACTATCACGACGATCGCGTCGTGATGGTACACTTATTTATAGTGGCGGTAGATTTATTGTTGAGTGGTAGATTTATTTTTATATGATGGTAGATTAATTACTCGTGGTAGATTTAATTGTCTTTATGATAGATTTAATTCGGATATAAATAAGTCTATCATCACGACGATCAATAAGTCTATGATCGTCATGATGGTAGACTTATTTATAGTGGCGGTAGATTTATATGATGTGGTAGACTTATTACTCTTCTTGGTAGATTTATATTTATTGATCGGTATACTTATTGATTGTTAGCGATGGTAGACTTATTTATAGTGGTGGTAGATTAATATTATGTGGTAAACTTGTTACTTTCCTTTGTAGATTTATTCAATGTTTGCAGGTCTTTACTACAACAAATCTACCAATCTTTGGTAAATCTACCATAATGATGGTAGACTTGTTTGGCTATATTGAGTTACGATAGACTTGTTTCTTAATATTGAATGACGATAGATTTGTTTAGATTCGGATAAGCGTACTGGTAGATTTAAAAAATAAGCGGCATGGTAGACTTGTTGTGGTAGGTGGTAGACTTACTTGTAGTAGTGGTAGATTTACAATATGTGGTAGACTTATTTGTAGTAGTATAGATTTATAATATGTGGTATGCTTATTTTATAGTAGTAGACTTATTCAAAAAGGGTAAAATCGTAATTTACCATTCATCTTCTCCACCAATCCAAAAGCTGTGAAACGACAACAATGGCGGCCAACAACTTTTTAGCTCGTTTTTACTGTATTTTAACTTGTTTTCAACTGGGTTTAGCTTAAAACTAGTAGATCTAACATCATATATCCTTTTTCTAATCAAAAATCAAAA